TTTGCACTGCACGCAAATTGCCTGTCAGTACAGGCTTCACAGAGCAGATCATGCCTATGTTACTTATCTTGTGCTACAACGGCAGCTTAGTCACTTGAACGGTCGCTAGCTTGACCACCGCCAAGTTTAAGCCTCTTATATTTTCTGTGTCTGGCTTCACCTTGTCCTATAGTGGGAACATGTACATTCACATGATTTTGTGTGACTTCAGTTTGTTGCCTGCACAATTTTGTTATATAATCATACGTGTATATGTAGGGAAGGTTGATTCTTCCGAATAATTTATACAAATCTGGTTCGCACCTCACAGGAAACACATTACGTCTCCGCAACAAAGACAAATTATTTAATGGTGTTTGTTGAAAGATTCGCTGTTTATTATAAGTACCAAACAAAACACACTAGTACACCCTGTGGGGAGAATACAGAGTTATAGTACGTTAAAGAGGGTGGTACATATAAGAACCGCTGGGCTATAAAGGCTTAATATATGCCCCACAGGGTGCCAAATGCGTCTAAAAAGTGTCTATGTTTCGCTGCCACAATTCGTAACCAAAGTCCTGGAGTGTAAGATGTCCACCAACACAAATTTCTGAAAACTTGGTTTTAGGTTAGGAAATCATTTGCAGTTTAAATACGGCTTACAAGAAAACAAATTCCGAAATACCATACTTGCAAGTAAAATACACCCATGAAAGTAGGCGGCGATAGCGCAACACAATACGGAGAATCAAGAAAGTGCATTATCTCATTTTCGCCGAAAAGCGGAAATAGTACACTCCAGCTTTCACGCGACGAAACGTAGAAAGACGGGATAAGCAGTCTGATGCAAGGCGCGTGCGCCATCTGTGTGGTGTATTTTTGTCAGTCTCCATTTCTATCAAATTGTTTGCTAACAAGCCCCAAACAGTTTTAAATAACAATTTCCTTGCACTTTGTACAGGACAGTTTGGTAAAAGCACGGGGGGAAAAAAGGGAAAAAGTTACGACATTAAACACCAATCTGGGATTAACTTCCAATAAAAAGTAACAAGAGTTCTGACATACACGTACACGCACTGATGTCAGATCGGTACAAAAAACTTATCACGAATAGCGACGCCCGTTCATATAGACGCATAAAACACTTGAAGAGAGTTTCCTGTGTCACGTTTCATCAGAACGATATTAGATGCTTGATAAATATTTATTTAACTATCTGAAGCATTAAAAACAAAATGAAAATCGAGGGGGAGGGGCATATCAAAGCTGACGGCCTGGAACGTCATTTTCGTAGATTATCGAGGGTCCGAGCAGTGCTCACTAATCCGAGTGTTCAAGGAAAGCATTTGTCAGTTCATGTCCGAAGCATAGAGTTCATCTAAATAATGTTTAAAAATTGTTTCCTATCTCGCAGAAATGGCATTGCGTATCCAATAAAAGTTCTTCTTATTCTTCAAGCTTTATGAATTAGGTCCTCTGGCCTCTTACAGTTCATCAAGAACTCCGGAAATTATGAATCGCGTAAGAGTAGACAGGAGCCGGAGTAGCGCGGTCGGTATAGCGACTGGCTACGGGCTGGACGACTGAGAGGCCGGACTTCGATTCCCAGTAGGGTCAAGAATGTTCACTCCTCATGTCATCCATCCTCCTATACAATGGGTACCGGTGGTTCTTAGTGCGACCCCTTAGTCGAGGGCTCGAACCGTCGGAAGGCCGCTACCCACACAGGAAAATACAAATACAGAAGAAACGTGGACAGACATCTATGCCTCGAGTAGGTTTCGAACCAACGAATCCACTGATCTCTACCATCTGACGCTGTATAATCTTATACTGACAGCGTCGTTAACCCCCCCCCCCCCAAAGTAAGACTTACGTGGGGGGATGACAACGAAATTTGACTTTATCAGTTCTACTTGGAATAGCTCAGTCAGTACGGAGACCAGGCTACAGGCCGGATGACCGGAAAATCGTGGTTCGATTTCCGTCGGGGCACTGGTTTTTGTCTTCTGTGCAGTGTCCAGACCGACTGTGTTGCGCACGCAGACTATCCAGTGGGTACATGGCGTAAAGCGGCCGGGGCTTAAAGCTGACCGTTGACTTCCATCTAGTACCTAGGTTAAGAATGTGTGGAAGAATTCCTCCACTCCCATTTACGTCTTAATGATTTGGTGCTTAATTAAGCATAATTACAATTTTTATCTTCTTCCTTCCGTTTGGCGATACTTGGGAAACTCGACTCCTTCACGGGGTGAAGTCAGGGACCACAAATATTAGACGTGCTACAAAAGGTAAAGTTGTTCCTGCGCTTAACTAATTAAGCACTACGAAATGAAGAAGTATGGGGGAGTGGATGTACAGATCCACATTTTCTTGACATCGGCGCTAGTTAGGGTGAGATGTCATCTTCATGCCCCGCTGGCCGCTTTACCCCCGAGGAAAGTGTCCCCGATAGCCATTGGATAGGAGGTCTGGACGACGTGGAGAAGAGAAAATTCTTGAAGCTACCGGGACTCGAACTCCGACCCCTCTGTCGTCAGGCCTGTAGCCAGTCGCTATACCGACTACGCTATCCCAGCCCATGCTACTATGCGTAGCGCCGCTATTTTTCCCAAGAGAACTGCCAACTTTCCACCAGCCTTCCACTACAGCAGCAGATTTGCAAAGGACTGTTGCCAGTTCCCACGGGGACAGCCAATTTTCTATTGTAGTCGCAGCCACAGCATTCCTTATAACCTTACATTTGAGTCCCACAAGACTGTATTTACTGTCCCCGTAGAGGATTCGGGATAGGGAGGAAGGTCTGCCGTACCTTACTCTTGTCTCCAGTTTCCATTCTTTCCCCCCCCAAATTCAGGGGCGGTGAGCAGACACCTGGTTTGCCCGCCTCCTCTCCGTGTGAGCTGCAGTACAAAAGGAAAGTTCTAGCTGCAAGGCTCGCGCATTTTCAAGCATTAGGACGTTTCTCTCAATGCCACTAGATGTCTCTGGGGGGCAGGCGGATTGAGATCTCACTTTCGTTAGTCTGAATATTTTAACGGCGGCGGATTGACCTTTTCAATTTAACTGTAGCTGTAAATTGTAACTGAGTCAACGTAGCGCTTTACTCAGAGGAATCCTCAACCACGATAGTGCCGGAAGCGCGTCGGGCGCCAACCTTACGGAGGAGTCCCGTGGGTTCAGCGTGATCTCCCTTACTCTATGTTGAAAATAGAATCTAGTAAATTTCTAATGATGGTGTTAAGATTTGCGTCACTAACTGGTCACTACGCACCCTCAAACACGTTTTAGACCAGTATAAGGATGCAGGATCATGTGCTTCCGGATAACGGTGCAATTAGCCCTGGTTACTACATGTACAACTCCTGCAAGAAGTTAACACTCTGCATTCTGCCCACAAAGTGTATTTGTGTGAGATGCCAGCAATTGCACTCACTTCATGAATCGGCGGTCCTCCTTACTGATAAAGAAGTAAACGTCATTTTAATTCGATTCAAACTGCTGATATACACTACTATAAAAAAAGGTAAAGCTGTCCCTGTAACAGGCCATGAAGGCCCATAGGATTGTGAGACATCGAGGCTCCAACATTTTCTAGACAGTCGGCTCACAGATGGCAGCGAGGTTGTCAGTCATACACACCGGCCTGCCTCTCTTTATTCCCAGGATAATCCCTGGTACTCAATTCTGTTAGAGGCTGATTCGACCCCAGGGCCATACTGCGGCTGGAAGGATTATTTCAATTTAAAAATCCAATGACCTCACCGGTTATCAAACCCACGACAATCCGGCGTGTAGCACAGTGCCTCAGCCAACCACGCCACCGTCTACCCATACACAACCATAATCTACACAAAAGCACATGTTCATTTACGTAATTAATTATTAATTAATTTAATTATTTCTTGAGACGTATGTTTTTTCTTGAGACGTATGTGATGTATCTTTGTTGAATGTATATCCGTTTTTGTAAACACTGCCACCGGGCATAAGCCCAATTGCAGTAAATAATAAATATATATATATATATGTAACAACAGGTAAAAGTTTTGGAAGATTGTTGAATTGCATAAAGGAGTTTCAGAAGCTTAGTGTATATCATGACACGTTGTTACCGTGTTTGCTTTACCAAGGATAGCACAAGTTTTGAGAATGTTTGTACAATCATGTATATATGGCTTGAGCAACTTCGTCAATGCATTAACTGCACGAATAACCCTGGCAATGATAGTTTGATGTTCGAAACGTGTAAGGTCATTAATTAAGTTGAATTAAGTAAAGAAACAACACTTTACGTTGTAATTCTACAGAACCATCATAAGTTTTAAAGTTTACCATTGACTACAACAGTATACAACACAATGTGAAAATAGTTTATTTATGTTATATTCAACATGAGACGTCTGTACATAACATTAGTTGGCCATTTTGATTCTTAGTCATACTGACTGATTACAAAGTCCGCTTTACATATGATCATAAATTAGCTTGTTCGATATTGTTTATTATTACGCTGTTGAAATATTAAATTAGTTTGTTTTATCAAACAAGTTTTGTATTTGTTGAAATTAAATTTATAAGGCGGTCGCATGTAAGCTCTAATAATCTGAAAAGAACGTCATTGTGTATTTAATTTCTACATTATGGAGTACACTGTTTCTGAACTTACCTCGTGTAGCTAATATCTGCAGTGGACAAAATGGCAGCGGGCGGGTTTTCTCCGAGTACTTCGGTTTCCTTTGTCAATTCTCATTCCACCAATTGTTCCATATTCATTAATCATCCTACCATCGACGTTATGTGGCGTCGATACCGACATCATCATCGTCATCATCATCATCATCATCATCATCATCATCAAATAATAACGATTAAAGAAATGGCTACTCCCTTAGGAACATGTGCATTACTGTAAAATTAAAATGGCATGACCCCTAACGGTAACAAGCGAAACAGACTGATTTCCTGTTCCGCTCCGTCGCTATGGTTGTCTCACTTCCAGTGTGGCTTGATTGCAGAGCAACCCTGACAGAGAGAGTGCTTTCAGGGACTACCGCGGAGACGGCGCCACTGATGAAAATACTGCCCGCCACCTCGATTCGATTGGTAAGTGGAACATTCGCTACAGTCAGCTATACGAAAACTCAGATTTCACGGCCATGCAAGTGGAACGGCTAAAGGACACCGCTGATCTGATCCTACCTCCAGTCCTTACTGATTCAGGACGAAAAGACAAAAATACGTAGAAGGTTTAGGTGCGTTGGCAAATAAAGGTTGCAGAAGTTTCCAATTATCCCTGTCATGCCTGCCTGTCCTCATGTAACTACTCGAGAAATGTCGGACCTCATTTCACTACATTTTCTATTAGAGAGATTTATTAAAATGTGTTAATATAATCCAATTTTCATTCGAATCCAACAATAATAACGGACATTCCACATGAAAACCTTGGTAGAGCTAGACAAAATAAATCAGAATGCGAGTTACGTATGTGTCACATTTGTTTGAATACTACGAACAAGTCACGGGTCCCACCGTTACACTTGCATATAAAAATGTGTTTGTCTTAAATACTGAAAAAAATGTTGGTCTTGTAAGTTTAATTCCAGTCAGATTCCATGTACATACTCGTATTACTTGTAGCAGCTAAACTGTGGCTAAAATTCACATGTCATTACCACGCGTAAATTTAAGCAAAACCAATTTAATCCAAAACGTAGGTCGCAGAACTTTTTGTCTACGAGAAAACTGAAAGGAGAGGTGCAATTTCTGAAACAAAGATTAAAAAATTCAATGCAATTAACCCTCTGAGCAAAAAGGTAGCTACATGTGCCATCAGCTTTAATATTATACGAATCTGAATGCCGTCCACAAAATGTATTTGTTCTTCGTATGATTCCTATAATAAATAGACTGTTCTTTAAACAGAATTAACAGGTTGGTCTTTGAAGCATGGATGCAATGTGTTTCCTGTGAGGTACGAACTGAATATTTAAATATTACTAAAAATAAATTCAAGTTTCAAAGGGTTAAGGGATCTCATATTTTAAATTTGTGTGTCAGTATTGTTTTATGACACACTGAGGTAAAAACTTACATTATTTGGGTTCTATGAATTTATTTGGCAATATTTTATATTCGTAATGAGTTCAAACTTGCAGATGGACAATTTAAACTTTATTTTTCATTTCCTATTAAATGGAACATGTTTTGTGAAGTATCGTTTAAAGCACAGCACAGTGGTTATTGTATGTACCAGGTGCCTTAATGCTGAAAGCCTTTGCATTTTGACCGGAGAGTGTACTTATGTAGTATTTATTACGAATGTCAGAATAAAGGATAATTTTTTTTCGAAAGCAGAATTAACAGGCTGATATTTGTAGGGGGGACGCATTGTGTTCTCTGTGAGATAGGAACCGATTTTTTAATATTATTTACACGAATTTCAGGCTACAAAGGTTTAAAATGAAGCAGACATTCATTAGTCAACAATAAAGAATAAAAGCATAGGATATGGGTCCAAACAACTTTCCTTTCTGAGACAACGCAACAAAGAATTTAAGAGTGAAACTCTATCAAGTGTCAGCAAACTGACTCTCTTTACCTGCAGTTCAGTAAAACAAAGGTTCGGTTCGGAACCAACTGGCTGCTCGAGTCCATGTTTCGGCACGAATTGCGGCCTGAGTTCCCCTTGAAAATTCATATCTACTCCATAAACAGGAGCTCTAAATGTTCCCACACATTACGCGTCTTATACGATATAATATTTCGCATGGTATAATAACACAGTAAATTGGAGAAAAACGTTTCTCTTGTCTGAAGTTTTTCCAAAGCCAACCGCAAATTTTACGCTGATGTATTTCATAAATGAAGGTTTTTAGAAAAAAATCGGGCCAAAACAAAACAAACTAATTAAAATGGAGGCTGAAACTCAAAATAAAACAATGAAATTTATTTGCTTCATTTTAAGTTGAAGTTTCCTTTTGCCTCTCAACTTTTTTTTCGGGTTTGTCACGTTATTCTCTTGTCTGTTGAAGTTCAAGTGCGGCATTTTCTATTTGTTTTTAACAAAAGAACACTGTACTATAACCTTCATGAATAACATTTACATTTCAGAAATGGAAGCACTTTGAACCTCTTTGTAGTGAAGTTCACATTTTCATGCAATTATGAAACATCTGAATACACACGCAACGTGCCGAATAAAAAAATATGTGAGGTTATGTAATGTTCTGACAACATATTTCAGTCGCCTGGAATAAACGTACAAGACAAATTTATATCATAAAATCGTTCACATTGAAATGTAACATTTTTATCTTTTTAAAATCTGAGATTCAATTTGAATCAAAATCAAGTTGAAAGTAAAATGTTGGAAGGAAACAAGGATTTTATCACCAGAGGATGAATCTTCGAATAATTTCAAATTCGATCCAGCTCACTGCAACTAAACTCGAAATTAAAACCGACAATAATATCTGTCAGTATTATGATACACACTAACTTGACTGGACAGGACTGGACTGGACTGGAACCAACTGCAAGAATGCTGCCTATACTTCAGATACTGGGCAGTAATCGAGCATGAAAGTCGACTAACAAATCGATAATTGTCCCACAGAACGGGAATTATTTGTTTTAGTGTTGAGGACGTTGTAGAAATCCTCAGACTCTTTCTTCCACTTATCATTTACGTTCTGGACACAATACTTGCATTTTAGAAATGTTCTTAAACTAATTGATGGCCTTTACAATTCAATGTGGACGCTACGTGACTGATGGAAATAGTTTTAAGAGTTATTATATCATAATAGCTGTCATATGAAAATAATATGTAATACGTTCTGATTATACTATGCACTGTTCAACAACCTATAAAAAAAACAACGATTCAAAGAGCAAGAATCCCCCAAATTTAAACGTCGTTTATTCTCATACTGGAGTAAATTAAAATTATTATAATCAAAACAGGAATCCAGATAATATTAAAATAATAGAAATGTAAATAATAAAGTTGCTCTATAAAACAGCGGTGACATTTAAACAACACTAAATGAAATTAACTGTCTTAAATAAATCTTCATAATTATAAATTTCTAAATAATGTAATTTAAGTGTGTAATATAAGTGATTACATGCATTCCGGTAAAATTTCTTTGACGTTTCGGAGGTACGTACGTCTTCCATCTGCAGGGTCGAAGGGTAAGCCAAAAAATCAACCAGTAAGAAACAACCGCAGCCCTTTTCTTCCTTCTCGTTTCCTGCTTGTTGTTTGATTGGCTGATTCTTTTTCCCTAGAAATGGAGGCATAAATTTCCTCCGAATCATCGATGAACTGCTACCAGATTACACAGTACCATAACACTTCCCACAGTGACCTCCATGAGAACCCTAAATCGCACCAATATGCCTTCGACTACCATTTTCTAAGTACACCGTTTCTCACTTTTCGGTACAACACTCTAAATCCGGCACGAAATTAGGCACACATGTGTGTTCTGCGGTTAGTTATAACAGGTCTCCATAGATGGCTCCACAACGACGAATTCTATTAGAACATATACATAAACGATGAATCGGGAAGGGTTTAGAAGGAATCAGTCGTGGCCTATTATGGACACTATCCCGAAATTTTTTTGAAGGGCCAGGTTAAAAACATGGAGACCTCATGCGGGACAGTCGGTGTTCCGACAGAGATTTGAGCCCAGAACCTTCCAAGTATGAATCTAGATCGTTATCGCTGTCACCCAGTTCGGTTGCGACGCCGTGTAGTTTGGTAGATATGTACCAAGGTTTTTCCATGAACCTGTTCCTCCATTTTCAGTGTAGATAAATAGAGACATGTCAGACTCCCGAAAAATGCCGAATTACCAATTACACGGCGTCATGTTTCAGAAGGTAATGATAACATTAAAGGGGGTTTTGAAGGTTTAGATTAAAAGCTGAAAACATCAAACAGCTCGACCTTGCGCCTTCTAGCATCTCTCCCTGACGACAGACGTTTCGAAGACGCATTTATAATGTGAACTCTTGCGTTTAGTGGGCATGAAATTCATGGGCGTCCTGCCAGATGACGCCCGCTGACCGTACCTTACTTCGTTTCGACCCCATATAATTTAACTGCATGTGGCAGAGTACTCTCCCAGAAACTTGTAGTCGTTAAGCTTGTTAATGTACATGCGCGCATCTTGCGGAACCCGAATATTCATTACCGCGTTCAGAAAAGCACTGGTCCTCATCAGGACTTTCCCCTCAGAGACTAAATCTGAGCATATTCTAAGAAGTCACAACCAGTTCATATGATATCCTGAGATTCTTAACAAGCATGTATTACTGTGACCCCACCTTTGCGTTGGAGCTTAAAATTTAATTTTAAAATTAAACTGTATCTAATCCGTAAAGAGTTAAAAATGAAGGTACTTTTCAGTGAATTTACAAGGGTCATTACACTAGTTTCATCTTAATTAAAAATAACTTCCTAAATCACTCACCACACCCCTTTCCCGTATAAATGTTAAGTGAATGTAATTAAAATCAATATATAAAAGCCTTTCAAGTAAGAAGTCTTAATTAAAGAAATGATGTTCAAGTAATTGAACAAGTAATTAAAATAATTACTGAACTGTAAAATGAGTGTAAAGACGATGCGGGCAAACAGGTGCATTCCGTTGAGAGTTGTCTTTCCACGTGACCTGGCGGGGAACTCTCCTGGTTAATTATACATACCTCCACAACTGAGGTACATTGAGCCAGCCTTTTACGTCGACAGAAGCTCATCACGCTGAAAATCATTAAAATGTTAGAAACTCACTTAATCACTTGGCTTACTATTTGCCTTTACATGTCCCGAAAGCAATTTCAATGTTCGAAAGTTAATCCCCAAGATATAGTGCAATATGTCCGTACACGCGATCTACATCTGTTGTCCAGTGAGTAAACTATTTAAACTTTCATCCGGTCACTTTGCACGGTCATGAAGGTATTTAACACCACTCGAACAGGCGGACGCGTCACAACCGTCAAAATAAGTAAAGGATTAACACAGATTATGTATATAAAACACGACGAGCAATATAAATCTCGCTTGAATGTATCCGTAATTAAAA